TTAGTGGTTGCTTTTTGAATTACATCATTAAAATAACATTGCTATCTTCAGGGCATATTATACCACTTCAGGTATTTGAAAAACCTGTCTACTATACCAGGAACCTGCAGTGACATCATCTGGATTCAGTCTTTAGCTGGATGTAATCATATATTCATTCAACAAATATTCATTGAGCAGCCTACTATGTGTAGGCCTATGCCAACAATCTCCAACACATTCAATCCATGACGTTAAAACTATAGTTTTGGCCTTTGTCCATCATTAATGAGTTTCTCACCATAAAGCTCAAGTGTGTTTGGCTTCTCAGGCTGAAGTCAGTAATTGTATAGCAAAAGAACAAAGACTAACTGCAGAGAGACACACCATGGGACACCACCAAGGAACCGACCACACCATGTGAAGGAAAAATCTGATGGACCCACAGAAGAGATACAAAGCAGGGAACTAAACATAGCAGGCCATATGCTAGCACAAACATCCCAGAAAGCCTATTCAGAATGAGTCCCATTCAAACGATCCTTCTAAATGGAACTTCTAGTTTTAGTTTTTTGAGGAATCTCCACACAGATATCCATAATGGTTGTACTAGTTTACATTCCCACCAATAATGTAGAAGAGTTCTTTTTTCCCCAAATCCTTCCCAGCATTTGTTATTATTTAATTCCTTGATGACTGTGGTGAATTAACTAATGGTCGATGCCCATTGTAATGCCCAACTGAACTGAATCAGCGTGGTTGGTCATGGAAGACCCACCTGAGGATTGTTGCCAATAGCCATAAAAAGAGAACTGGAGGGGAAGCTGATTTTCCAGAAGCTTGCTGAGGATGGTTTTCCTGATGCAAACCTGGCTGTTCTCCTCGGAGGAGGAGCTTGGGGCCTCACTGTCGCTGGGAATGGCTCCTGTTCTGATCAGGGGAGCTCTAATCTTCATTGTGAGCATCACTTCCTGGCCCCAGTATAAATATCTCAGCCTGGTGGCACAAATACTGGCAAAGGTTTTCTGCTTCCACCACTAGCCTTTGGGCCTTCCAGGTGCAGATCCTCAATACAGACAAACAAGCATGAGACATTGCCTTGGCTCTAGGCCACTGGCTGGACTCACGGAGGACACTGCCTTGGACTCTAAGCCTTTAGCTGGACTTGTGTGGGACATTGCTGTGGGATCCAGGCCCTTGGCTGGATTCTTTGGGCCTCTAGTGTGCAGTTAATCTCTTGCACTGCTCCGTATTTGACTTTTTGGGTAAATATCATAAAATAATCCTATAAATTATGTGTCCTGTATTAAATGTATTCCCTTGCCAATGCCCTGACTATAACAATGATAGTCATTCTTTCTGGAGTTGGGTGGTATCTCAGTGTTGTTTTAATCTGTATTTCTTTAATGGCCAGTGATGTAGAACATTTTTTCACGCATCTATTGATCATTTGTACTTTGAGATGTGTATATTTGTTTTGAGTAGAACTTTTATTTGTGAGAGTCTAATTTTTGGGGTTTATATATTTTAAATGTTAGTTCTCTACAGAATGGCAGGCAAAAAATTTTTTCTCATTGAGTAGTTTCTTTTTCTTTTTTTTTGGTACTGGGGATTGAACTCGGGTCCTTGCACTTGGCAGCAGGCGGCGAAACCACTGAACTAAATCCCCGGCCCCTAGTAGGTTGTTTCTAAACTCTGTTAGTTGTTTACTTTGCTGTACAGATACTTTTTAATTTGTTATAATCAAATTCACTGATTCTCAGTATTTTTTGTGTCACTGAGGTTCTTGTCATAAAGTCCTTGCCTATACCTACGTCAAGAGTTGTACATATTTTTAATCTTTTAGCAGATTGTTTCTGTTTTAACATTTAGATCTTTGAACCATTTTGATTTTAGCTTAGTACATGGTGAGTGAGATATATGGGTCTAGACTCAGTCTTCTACATGTGGATATCCAATTTTCCCAGCACTATTTATTAAAGAGGCCATCTTTCCTCCAATGTATGTTTTTGTCCCTTTGTCAAAGATTATACAGCTAAATGTACCTGGAGTTGTTTCTGCTTCCTCCATTCTGATCCACTGATACACATGCCTGTTTTTGTGCCAGTACCATGTAGTTTTTATCACAGTAGCTTTGTGGTAAAACTTCAAATCTGGAATTATGATGCCTCCGGCTTTGCTTTTGTTATCCAGGATTGCTTTGGCTAAATGTGTGTCTTTAGATGAATATCCTGAGAAATATATCTAAACAGTATTCTGGCCAAGAAGGCATAATCTTAACCTAGTATCTTAATTACTTTCTTGCTGCTGGGACAAAGCACTCGATATCCATAAGTTAAAGGAGGAAAGATTTATTTTAGTTCGCTGTTCATAGAGGTTTTGATCCATAGTCTGCTGGCTCCAAGGCAGGGCAGCAAGGCAGAGAAGAGTTCACGGCAAGGCAGGCAGGAAGCACCATGCAGTCAAAAGAAGAAAATGGACTGATATATACACCCTTCTAGGCCACAACTACAGTGACCCACCTCTTCCTACCAGGTTTCACCTCCCAGCATCACACCCAACTATAAACCCATTAGTGGAGTAATCCAGTATCACACAACCATGATCCAATCACCTCCAAAGAGCCTCACCTATAAGCACACAAAGCTTTGCAGAGACATGTGGATATAAGCCATAAACCTAGTCACAAAATACATCAGCCAAAGAAAATGAGGAATGTATTTAAAAGATAAAAAAGTGAGAGGTGTTCTATATTCCTAGAAATGTTATAAAAAGGGAAATAGGTTACCAAAACATCTCACATTAATGAAGACTAAAGAAATATAACACCAAAAACTAATTTCTGCAGCAAAAGGTGAAAGATATTGCTAAGGACATTATTAGGTCAACTCACAAAAGATGGAATATAGATGGTAAATTTGATTAAAAATATGGTATCAGAATAAACTCATGAAGTTGCTAAGCATACTGTGGCACATAAATGCAGGTGAAAAAGTAAATGGGGAAAATATTAACAACAAATGAGTTTGGGTAAAGGACATATAGCTATTCCCTATAGTATTTTATTTTGCAATGTTTTGTAACTTTTAAATGATTTCCAAAATAAGGTAATTTTTGAAAATCAAACCAGCACACTGGATCCCATCCTTTCACACAAAAGGTCTCTCCCTCTCCCTCTCCCCCCCCTCCCCCTCTCCTCCTCCCCACCCCCTTTCTCTGCCTGACCTGGGTGGGAGCTGAATGGAGATAACCACACGCTTACTCATGACACGATGTGCTGGAGGAGGCTGGCCTTTGTGGGACCTTTGCATACTTTTGCCATGTGCCCATAGATCCTGTGAACCTTGGCTCACACCAGAAACAAAGGCTAAGATCCTGATTGTACCCATCAGTGAAACAGCTATTTTTAGAAAATCAGTTTACTCCTATAAGTATGGACAAGTAAAGACACCAGGTCCTGAGCTTCTCCCTGCCATACACTTTGCTGTGTGGCAGTCCCTGCTTCAGCAATATTATTATTAAACTTCTGCTTCATATTACTTTTGTTTTCTGGGTTCCTCATTCTGCACCAGGGGGTTCTCTGGTTTTGAGTCAGCCTCCTTCACCTCCTGCATTCTTGCCGGGGTGAAGGGACAGAACCAGGAAAGCAGAGGGTGTCTCTCAGAGGACTCTTTGCCTCCCAGACCCCTGCCTGATGTAACATCTCTATTCCCTTTCCTTCTTCATTAGGTCATTGTACTAAGCTCAGAAACACGTTCTTCCATCTCTATAACAAAGATGCAAACAAAGCATCTCTTGATCCACAGGTACTCCAGACTTACTAAAAAACATATCTACTCACACTCTCACATTTTCCTATGCTCCATTTATCCTCAGCCCAGTTCAGCCAGCCTGTGCCCCACTACATACTGAAACTGTTCTTGTTAAAATCATCAAACACTTCCAGGTCATCAACTCCTATAGATACTCCTCAGTTATGCTGCTTGACCTTTCAGCAGCATTTTTAAAATTTCTTCTTTAATTAAAAACTTATTTGGTACAATTTAGATATACATATAATGATCACATTCACCATATGGAATTTGTACCTGTACATGGTATATCTTGATTCATATTTTTTCCCATTCCCTTTCCCCTCCCTTCTACCCCTCCTCCTATTTACAATAGCTTTGTTTCCATTTTATCTCTTTTCTCATTTTTTTTCTTTTCCCTTCCTTCCTTTGATAATGCTGATCACACTTTCTTCATTAAGAGACCCCTTCTCTTGGCTTTTGATCAAACACTTTGCTCTCACATCCCTGGATTCCTGTCTCCTCTGCTTTCCTCATCCTCTGCCTGACATCTATTAGCTGGAATGCATAAGGTTCTCAGTCCACTCTATTTCTCCAGGTGATCTCATCTGTTCCATGATTTTAAAAACCATCTACACCTGCTTATGACTCCCAAATTTACTTCTTTAGCTCAGAGCTTTCCTCTGAGTTCAATATTCATACAAACCAATAAATTGCTTTGACATCATAGATTAAAATTTCTTAAACTTAACAAATTCAAAATGCAATTCTTGGTCTTCCCCAACTCCTTACATTCTCCACCAGATTCCCATTTCAGTAAGTGTTACTTCCGTTCATCCACCTGCTCATGTCACCAAACTCAGAATCATCCTCTGACGGCTGAAATTATGTGTGAGATTTTTGTCTGTATGTTTTTCAACAGTTTAAATTTTCCTATTATAAATACAACATACTTATTAATCAATGTAAGTTAAAAGAACCAAAACTAGGGCCGGGGATTTAGCTCAGTGGTTTTGCCGCCTGCTGTGCAGGCGCAAGGACCCAAGTTTGATCCCTGGTACCAAAAAAAGAAAAGAAAAGAAACGAAACTCTTCTTGTGAGTAATGAGATATAAAACAAAGATGTGCTGAAACAATGCATAGTCTCTGTTTTTAATTATGGTATTTCTATTTTTCATTTTGTGAATGTCCAAATAAGGGTACTAAAAATTAATATTAAGTTTCATATTACCAGAAGTGTTGGGATTTATTGAAGACATCACAGAATCTGCTTCTATCTAGAAGAGAGGAAACAATAATAAGATGTAAGTTTACTGAATGCCTTCAAAGCACACGTTCTTAATTCCTAAAATGAGGGAAAGGATATATTTTATGAGAAAACAGCTTTTTTGAACCCAGCAGACCGGTAATGTCACTGAACAGCTTTTTGTTTTTTGGGGGTTTTTTGGTTTTTTTGTTTTTGGTACCGGGGATTGAACTAAGGACCTTGAGCTTGTGAGGCAGGCGCCAGAACCACTGAGCTAAATCCCCAGGCCCTTCAATGAACAGCTTTAATAGCCATTTTACTTTTCCATCAAGATCTGTAAGATACCAGTCAATAATCTGCTATAGGGCCGGGGATTTAGCTCAGTGGTTCCACCACCTGCCTCACAAGCGTAAGGACCCAAGTTCGACCCCCAGTACCAAAAAAAAAGGAGAAATAATCTGCTATAAACTGTAATCCCCCCCTACCAAACTTTATTCCATTGACTAATACAGTTCAGGCACATAAAAGCAGTTTGGCTGTCCCATACAGAACATAACCTAGAATGTATCCTTTTTGCTTTAGACAAAAACAAGTAATTGTTACAATGGGCTCTATGGCTTTACTTATAAATTTTTTCTTGATTGCAACAATAACATATGACAAAATAAAAAATATAAGAAATTATTAATACTTTTAAAAGCTATCCAATGAAAATGACTGTTAATATTTTAGTCTTGTACAGCTTGTTTCCTATGCAGTGTATAACATTTGAAAACGTACTGTATGCAAAGTTTGAGGATCTGCTTTCATTAAATATTAAAATAGAAGCACCTTCTCCATTGTTACAAAGGCTTTATAAACATTAGAGAATTAAAACTCAGACAGCATCTGACACTTCCTCTACTATGTCTTTTTTTTTTTAGGTACAGGGATCGAACTCAGGTCCTTGCACTTGTGAGGCAGGCAGCGGAACCACTGAGCTAAATCCCCGGCCACTTCTATTATCAGTCTTGAATTTGCCATAGTCTTGAATTCTAAGCACTTTCCTGGTCCCTTTTGTCCCTCTCAAATGACTACCACTTCATTTTCTTCATTGAGACCCCTGCCTACCCTTAAATGCTGGCTTCCTTAATGTTCTTACCTCACAAACTACGGCTCTTCATATGATGCAAAATCACCCTGGGTAATGCCATTCATTCTCAGATTTTGAGCTTGTCCCTGGAAACTGAGACATCCCAAATAACCTAAGACTTTCACCACCCAGCACAGTTTTTCGATTTTTGTTTTTTGTTTTTTTGGTACCGGGGATTGAACTCGGGTCCTTGCGCTTGCGCAGCAGGCAGCGAAACCACTGAGCTAAATCCCCCGCCCTTCAGCACAGTTTCTGATGAGCAAAGGTACCCGGATGCCCACAGCTGCCACAAATGCAACCTGCTCCAATCTGAACTCGGTGCACCTGAACCTGCTTTATCTGAATTTGGTTCTATCTGAATTTTCTCTCACTTGGTGGTTATCACAATCCTTCCAGTCTTGGTGGTGCTGCTATTCTTTTACCACTACCATATCCAGTGAATCACTAGGGCATAACTTGGCCCACCATCCACACAGTGTTCTTAGACACTTCTATCACAGTAGGCTAGCTTCTCAAGTCTACGTGACACCCACATTCCTATTATACCTGCCTCTAGAATTAGGTTTTCATTCTTGTCCTCTTCTCGTGTTATCTACCACAGACAGGTTTCATAGGTCTATCTACACAAAATGGTAAATTCATTCAGAGTAGGATCTGTGCTTCATTTATGTTTATATCCCTAGTAACTACCAGTAGCAAGTGTCCCTTTTATTAAACAAGAAGACTCAATAAACTTCACTTTGTAACCAATTATAAGAAGGTATGATTTATTATATATGTATCTTTTTATGAAATAGCATTATAGTTTATATTATGGTTATTTAAAATAACTTCACAGTTAACATTTCAAAATATACATTTTCTATGATAGAAATTTTTAAACATAATCTCCTATTAACTGACACAAAGTCAGTATTTCATTCAAGTTCAAAAGTAATACTTAAAAAGTAAACCTCAATTCTCAACGTAATATTCTTTAGACTATTTCTATTGATGAATTATTAATTTTAATTGTGTAAGTTTTATTACATTAAACAATGAGTACTTAACAGGAAAAAGAACACAAAAATAAAGTATTGCATTTTTAGTATTTATTGAGTGTTTTTAAAAAAAATCAGAATTTTCAACATAAGCTAGCTTTTGGTGTACAAAGTCTTAAAAAAAGGAAATAAAAACCTACGTGAACTACAATGAAAGCACCAATTGCACTCTACCAAAAAAAACCAACTTTACTTCCGTTATCACAACTAAGGCAGTCTCCAAACATGACAACAGCACATTCCACACAATGTATTGCATACACTGACAACACATGTGTTTTTGCTTTCCTGGACTTTTTGTCAGACATATCTGACATCGCACTGGTCTTGCTGTTTTGTCAGGAAGTTCTTATTTTATTATACAATGTGTAGTTAATAGGAATTCTCAATAAAATCAAGTATTAAGTTCTTAATACATATTACACATTTAGAATAAATATTAACATTTTCACATCAGATGTTTATTTGCTTACAAAACCTAAAAGATAATATCAAAAATGAAAACCTATGTGAACTACAATGAAAATACCAGTAGAGGTCCATCCTGCCGCTCCTGGCCCAGAGGAAGGGGCTTCTGGGACACCATCCAGCGCACTGCTCCTGGCCCAGAGGAAGGGCCTTCCTGGCCACCATCTGTCCCACCACACCCAGCCCAGAGAAAAGGGCGCTCCTGGCCCAGAGGAAGGGGCTTCTGAGCCACTGTCCCACCTCTCCCAGCTCAAGGGAGGTGAGCCATGTGGGCGCCAACAGCACCGTGCTCCCCCCACACCCCAGGTTCAACTGAGAAGACACGTAAATAAGTCTCAAAACCAGACTTCCAGATCACCTAAAGCAACTCCAAAGGGAAACGAGATGGAACACTCTGATACTCAAACACCTGGACCCACTGAACTGGCAACAAAAGGGGATCTGGAAAACATGAAATCAGAAATAATTTCTCAGATAACAGCA